CGCCTCTTTTTTCCAGGCTCTCATTTTTGGGCTTGCAGTACATGGGCTAGATTGGAAGAAGAAAACAGGGCCTTCCTCCACATTGTTGCTACCCGGGTTTGAAATACTGGAGGACTGGGCCTAAAATGGGCCGACTTCCACTGGAACCCCCACACTTATGGAAACAGAATCCTTCGCACCGCCTTTCCCGCGCCTAGAATCTTGGACTTGTAAGATAGGCTGCTGTGCAACGGATACTTTCTGTTGCTCTATTCCGCAAAAAGGAACAATCTCATCCTGATTTTGCGATGAATCCAGACCATCACGCCCCCAATCACGTTGATTAGAATCTGCCTCAAGGCCACCGATTTCCATATTCGAGGAACTTCCTAATCGGGGAATCGGGCGTCGCCACCTTGCCTTCGCTGCGACACGATTTCCAGAGGAGTCCCGTAGCCACCGTGCACCCCCTGCTTCACTCGTCTGCTGCAGGTGCTTTGGTATGGCCCGTAACTTCTCGTTGTAAGGGCGTTCTGCTATACCCATCTTCTCCATCTCCAAACCCAATTCACAATCCCTCTCGATATGATCTAACATACCGCAGCAAAAACAAAAGTTTGGTAATCGCTCATATTGAAAAGCAACCCAGATTGGTCCTTCCCTCAGTGTGAGCTTCATGCCGCGCCTTAGCGGCTTCCTAGAGTCAATAAAGACTCTGACTCGGATATACTCCACGCCCCAAGCATTGCCACCCCCATCGTCCACCTCAACCAGCCGTCCCAATGCCTCCCCTACTCGCCTCCCTGTTATTGTCGTCATTCGATCTGGAGGTAACCCATGTATCTGGATCCAAAAGGGAACTTCATACAACTCCTCCCTAGCTACCCGACGCCCTTCCTTTGCCTCCTTTAGTACCATGACATGGTTTGCAAAACGCCATGGCCCTACCGCCAGCACCCTTTGCATATCAACCGGGTGGAAGAAATAGAACGCAAAGAGGTTCTGTCCTAAAACTCGCATGTGGATGCCTTTAACCGGCCTCCAGGCACCCGCAAGTGTATTCTCCATAGCTTCCATGTTGTACCGTTTGTTTATCAACACAGTACCGACAAGGCATCCCCTCCAACCACCCCCCGCAGGATCCACACCACTACCATCATCAAGGTTCAGCGTTACCTCCTCATCAGCAGTCAAGGATAACCGCTCACCCAACGCCGTCGTGAGATCAGTGACACTCGGATCCGCCATAGCAATGAGATCTGAAAATGACTCCCAATTCTAGGAGAAAATAACTCCCAACTCTAGGAGAAAAATATTTAAATTAAGGGTTTGAAATGGCTCTTAATGGTATTGAAAACGTTTAGCAGTTCAATAATATGATGATTTAAATTTTTTATCTTTTAAAATTAATAAGTTTTAATCCCTTACCTTACAAAATTAATAGGTTTTAACTCTTTACGTTATATTATAATATTTTTAGTCTCTCATCAATAAGAATTAAAAAAAATGGTCATCATCTAACATCAGATTATAACATTCTGTTAATTTTTTTTGTTGACTGTTAATAACCATTAGTATTTTGTTATAAAAAACATGAAATTTAAATTCAATTTCATTTGTTAGTTCTATTAACGGAATGCTAACAGATGCTAATAATCAATTAACAGAACTAATAATCAACTAACAAAACTGACAGTCAGTTAACAGAATTGATAGTCAATCAACATAACTAATAGAACATTATAATCTGATGTTAAATGAGGGTTATTTTTTTTCAATTCGTACAAATAAGGAGTTAAAAATATTATAATATAAGGTGAGAGATTAAAACTTATCAACTTTGTAAGGTAAAAAGTTAAAAATATCATATTATAAGGTTAAAGGCTAAAACTTATTAATTTTGTAAGGTGAAGGGATAAAAGTTGGTTTTAACCAAATGGATGTTGATAGATTAGTAAAGGTAATTAAAATTAAATCTTTTTTGTGGATAAGGGATAGAGCCGGTAGATGTGGGTTTTTTTTTTTTTTTTTTTTTT